CATATCAAGTTAGTTAAGCATTCTAGAAACACCTTACTCCAACTCCCCCGATTAAGGTTTTTGACGTACATTTACACAAATAAAAATCTTTTTTGTATCAAATCCTTTTATTAAGTAAATAATTGAACAGTTTGATATAATTCAACGATAAATATCAATCTCGGGTACACGAGTAAAGCTCTACATATTCTTTAGACCTCGCACTCCCTCCCCTATACTATCCCCCTCCCCTATACTACCCCCCTCCCCTCTACATTCGGCACTTCATTTATAAAAATATTCATCTTCACAATATTACATATTCACTTCCGCAAAGTTACAACTTAGAAGCTACAGGGTAAAAAATGAAGCCTCGACATTACATACACAGATGAAAAAACCTCTCATTTGATAATTCACTATCTAATATTTAAAAATCATTGCGTCGTAACTGTTTAGATTTTATTTTTTATTTTATAAATATTACATACATCTTATAGCATTTATATATAAAAAAACTAGCTACTATTCGCGGTACGTCTGTACATACATATGTACTGGTCGCGTGCATCACAGTATATAGCTGTATACATTATTTACTTACGTATAAAAATTAGGCATTCAAAACAACGTTGTAGGCCAAAACTCAACAAATTTAATATATGAAGCCGGGTTTTAGGTGTTAATTGTGTATAAGTTAATATTACTATTTAAATAGGAAACATCTGGTATTTTGATAGCATTCATATGAACGCCATTGAGTTTAATATGTTAGAAAAGTATAAAAGTTGGGTCTTTAGTTTAATTATATAATAATAAGCTCTATAATGATTTACAAACACGACCCTGGTATAACCAAATTGTAGCAATGAACACGAGCACAAAGAAGCAAAATTTACATTACTATTGACACCTCAGTACAAAATTGACCAGTTCAATCAGTCAAATCAAGTGAGCAGTTCTAGGAACAAAAGGATGTATCTGCAATAACTTGCGTACTTCATTAAAATCAAGTTAAAAGGACTTTCAACCCAAATTTTGTCAAATCTTCCAATAATTTGAACATTTTTCACATACAATTCTGCATTTTGTTTTAAAATAGAACTCTATGTAGAGTTAAATGTATTAGGAATAATAATAATAATTACAATATATAATTCATTTTCTAGCTACAATAAAGCTGAGTATCACCAACCGACACCTGCCGCGTCCTCGCCGCCTCGCCGCAGTCCGGACAAAGGTTAAACAAATATTAGGAATATATTGTGACAAAGTATGTTTAACTTGTGCCCAAACTGTATCGAAGCGAACTACATCTAAATTAAAGCTCGGCCCACAAACAAACTGAGCTTTTATAACATTTTTACTACGACACGGGCTTAGTAAAGGAACGATTGTAATACAATGATAGATGAACTCGCTTCGCTTTGTCCCTAAATGGTAACTTGGCCATATACTAACATGGAGTCTCATCAGGAAGACCAAAATTAATTTAAACGCAAATTATATGCGTGTTAAAATCTATTAAATCACACTCTAAAATTCATGAAAACTTTTTACTATATCATTTGGCTTTTTAAATAATAAAACCAAAGTAATACATGCATGTCTGTTAACTTTAGTTAATTTTGTTATTATATGGAACCTCACGTGTCCACGACATGGGCCGAGCCCCAGTATGCCTCTGAGCTGGCTTACATCTACTCATATAAAATAATATTTAAAATTAATTAGGAATAACACATTAGTTACGCGTTCGCAGTATTTATACATTATTGTGTATTATAATTCATATTAATATTCGTTTTTAAACGTATTGTTATTGCTTTTGAGGCAAAATATGTTAAAACCACACATCCATATGCCATACAATTAAAAAAGCAAACAATTCGCAAAATCAATAACTGTATCGTTCATAAAATACAAAATTCATATTACACGGGCAAAAATCGAGAAATTCAATTACAAAATCGATATAATATAACTAGTAGGTTACAAATTATCAAATTTCGTTTAAAAGTCAAAAATTTGAGCAAAAGTTACCCGTCTCCACACCACGTGAACTCGCTACATCGTCAGCACGGACATACGTCGCTTCATCAATACTAGGGTGGGAGGAATTTTTTTTCTTGGCTTGGGGGTAGAATTTTTAGCTTACAAAAAAACCTTTCACTGTAATATAAAAGAAGTATTATATATTTTTTTCAACTTTTTTTTCGAATTGCAATAATACAATATTACAGAGAAAGTTTAGTAGAAAATGACTATAGTCGTCAATTTTTGAATGTTTTCAAGGACTCTATTCAAACAAAAAAAAATATTAATTATTTCAAACATCAGTGGGCCACCTCAAAATGTTGAAAACTTTCTTTTAAAAATTTTTGTTACATTATTAAATAAAACTATCTTTTCGGATTATTTCGCGGAGTTTTATTTAATAAATTTTGTTTTTTTATAAGCTACAAATTCTACCCTCAAGCTTCGTTTCACCCTAATATCTATGCTCCTATATCTGATAATATCTATCCAAATCAACACATTATATGTATGTAAACACCCACCCACAACCCGACAGACGATAAGTCTCTTTCTAAACACCCGCCTTCAACAAGAGCACTACAGTGTAAATTTGAACCCGCTACCTACACAGTACGGGGGCCGGAGCGCCCGGCACTTGCAAATACTTCATATTTTATTATTTACATACCCTCGTATACTTTACAATTATACGATATAATATAATATACAATATATGATAAAACATATATAATGTAATGAAGATAATTCAAGCGTTACTGTAGAGTTCATATTACATAAACATACATATAGGTTTAATTTATTCTCAGTATTGCAATATTCAAAAATGAACATTATAGACTTTAATCTACATTGTATTTAAATATAATTCTTATTTCGACGCTTTGTTTTTTAATAATTAAATATATTTTTTGTAATAACAACACTGAGCAACGCCATGATAAAACTTTGACTTCTTGACAAAGTGATTCCTTATTTACCTTACACTCATAAAAATATGGTATACGAAAATTTTATAACATATTTGTATCATTTTTCTATCTACACACATGTAATTTAACGCTTTCATTTTAGTTTCATTTGACACCAATATAATATAATTTCATGATATTTTAAAAAATCCTTTACGATAAACTCCATTTACACTACGTATATATCTACCGATACTGGACGTCTGCTTTTGCACCAAATTCCAGTCACAAATTACTACAATATTAATATTTTATATATACTATATTTAAAAATGTGTAAAATAATCATTCAGCCATATATAGAATAACATCTTTGTATTCGGCCTTTTTTAACGTCCCACTGCTGAGTGCGGGCCTTCCTTTAACAACATCTTTCATGCCCCTCAATTGAAAGGTTTGGGACATCTCATACACTTTTTAGTCATGGGACAGAACCGACGTGTATGACACATACAAATTTTAATCTAATCCGAGAATCGATCCTGCGATCACTATCCCGAAATAATTTGCTCCTCAACGGTCATATATCTATACAATTTAAGTCATATTATAATTTAAATGGTATTTTTTTTTAAATAATAAATACATTTTTTTTTATAAATGACATAAAAGTCAATTAAGTCACATTTAAAAAAAAAAATTTTTTTGAAAAACTGATGATACCTGCACTACACATATATATAATAAAATATTTTTATTAGATTTTACAAACAACATCATAATCCTTTAGGATATAAACTAATTCATTATTTTTACACTGTTTACGTAATAGTCATATATAAGTAACGTCGACAATTGAGCATCCGCCGTAGCCTTTCCATGGATACGTACAAAGTACATAGACGATCAATGTAGCCATATCACGTACAACAAACAGACGGTTCTCTCGCATTAGTTACGTCTAAATAGATATATAATCCAAAAAAATATAATGATATGCAAAATTAATTTTCTTTTATTATTTAACCAAACCCGTCATTTCCGAGTTATAATGTCGTATCCCTCCCACCAATATCTCCTACGTCATATCCTATCAGACAAAACATACATGTTTCATGACAAAGTGCCCTGCGCGGGACTGAACCCACTGCTTCCGTGGCGTATCAAGACGCTATCGTACTGTATCTCACAAATTATTTTGTAGAACCCTCTCCATATGTAATAAAAAATATTATGATATATCTTTATTACGTTAATATGTACATGAATTTTCAAAATTTTGGCACGTTTCAGTTACTTGACATTTATAAGTTTAGAAAAGACGAGACGCTGCAGCTTACAACCGCATATCAGACTTATAGTCGCTAATATATAAGTAAAACCACAGTATACAAACCCATACAGTGCACCGTCGCCCATTGATTATAACGGAAATGCTGTCAAATACAAGGGTTGTCAACAAGATATTCATTTTCAAGACGAATTATTTCAAAGTTAAAGCGTCGTTGTGCCTTCTTGACTATCATATGAAAGTAAGTACGATAGTCGGGCGCGTCTCCGCCCGATTGACCCTTTCATTAGACCACTGTATGGATTAGTATGATGTGGCAAATTGGATTCACAAACTTGTTCGCTGTGAACTATCTTATATGTTCTAAAACAATTACTTTTAGTATTCGTCCTTGTAAGTTGACACGTCAGGGGAATTTGAGCTATAATTTTTTTTTATAATTATCAACTATGATACATATAAAAATTGTATATTACAAATTTTAAAGTATTAATTATATTGGATTATAAAACATATATATATAAAATAAAAAAATTAATGATAGTTATATAGCCAGAAACTTCTTACTATAGTCAAGACGTCACTATCAAAAGTTAAAAGGTATAATAAACGTATAACAGTTCCCAATTCTAAATGGAATCGTTGGACAATTCGGTTAGACTTATACTACACGGAACAGTCGCGGCGCCGCCGGGGGGTGCGCGGGGGTGCGGGGCGGGGGGTGCCGGGGGCGGGGGGGTGCGGGGCGGGGGGGTCGGGGGTGCGCGGGGGGGGGGGGGTCAGTCGCGGCGCGGCGGGCGCAGCGAGTAGGTCTCGGGCTGGAAGGTGGGCGGGCACTGCAGGTGCGCGTACTGCTCCGAGCGCTGGCTCTCCTGGGGACGCGACAAGTTTTATATTATATATTTTTTACATAATATAACACAAAAGTAAGACACTACATAAACGAATGAAACTTTCACTAATTTCAAATTACATACACAGAGAATAGACGAGGACAGTGAATATACATATAATATAAGAAACAAAAAAAAACGAAGTAAACAGAAAAAAAATTACTATTATTATTTTTTATCCCTCCACGACCGCAGAAACGCCAGCGTTACAGTTAACAATAGATTTCTTAGAAATTTAATTAATTTCTTAGAAATTTACCTGCAGGTGTTAATAAAAAATTTCAATTTTTCCATTCTACGCTTTATAAATAGATGGCAAGGGGTCAATTTAACTACAGTGCATTTTCTTATTTATTTATTTATTTATTTATTTATTTATTCAAACAAAATCCACAGCTACATACAAAAAAAATTGTAAGTACAAAACTAAAACCTTACATAAGCCAATTACGGATTTACATTATTTAGGCAATATAGAAAGGTAGACTAAGTTTACATTTATTTAAGAAAAGGCAAAACAAAAAAAACCATGCATTTATATAAGGAGCAAAACAAAAAATGAGAAAAAAATAATAATAGAAAGAACACTAACAATGATGATACGGCCATTCATTATTTATGACTAATGGTGCGGCTGCGGGTGCGTGTGCGTGTGTGTGTGATCGTGTGTGTTTGTGTATGTTCGTGTGTGTTCGTGTGTGTTGTGTGTGCGCACATATGTGCGTGTGTTATTTATTAAGTTCGTTAATGATAGCTTTCTTAAATCTTCCTCTAGAATTACTAAATGGATCAACATTACAGAAATATTTATTATACTGTTGAGGCAGTCTATGAGTTACTGAGTTTCTACTGTAGTTAGAACGATGACAAGGTACATGAAATAAATTAGTGTGCCTTGTGCGCCTTTGAGGGGTACACAATTGCAAGGTTTCTGTAATAAGATAAGGATTATCTATGTTTCCATTACAAATGTCATATAACAGCATCATGTCGGTCATAGTTCTACGTCTTTCTAAAGTGGTCATTTTATAATGTAAGCAAGATGCAATATAGTCTGTTTTAGGTTCTTTAGTACGATAGTTAAGATAGCGTATAAATTTCCTCTGAATCTTTTCAATTGTCTCAATGTACGTTACGTATTGAGGATTCCAGATGGGACTGCAATACTCTAATACGCTCCGAACATAGTAAAAATAAAGCGTTTTGAAAGTATTAATGTCTGAAAAAGGTTTCGAGACACGTAAAACAAACCCAAGATTTTGATATGCTTTGTCTCTGATTAAGTCTATGTGTTCAGAAAATGTTAATTTACTATCCAATGTCACGCCAAGGTCTTTAATGGAAGTTGCTGATTTTATTGCTGTGTTACTAATATTGTATGTTGTTTGATTACATTTTTATTTCGCGTAAAAGAGATGTGAGTACATTTATCAACGTTTACTGTTATACGATTTGCTTTAAGATAATGTGAGAGTCTATTTAAATCGTTTTGAAGCAAAATGCAATCATCAGGTGAGTTTATAGTTTTGTAAATTTTCGCATCATCAGCATATAAAAGAAATTTAGAGTGTTTAATACATTTACCCATGTCATATATATAAAGAGCATACAAGAGCGGACCTAGTAATGACCCCTGAGGAACGCCAGATGGGACCCTAATAAGATTAGATTTACCACTACCGACTACAACAGCTTGAGATCTATTCGATATGTATGATTCAAACCAACGATGAAGATCACCGCTAATACCAACGGCTAAGAGTTTTTGAAGTAGTATTATATGATCTACACGATCAAAGGCTTTCTCAAACTCCGTGTATATAACATCCACTTGGATGCGATCGCCCATGCTTCGTAAAATATCACCAGTAAAAACGGATAGATTAGTAAGAGTGGAACGACGTTTCATGAACCCATGTTGTTCTTGAGGTATAAATTTTGAAATATGTGGATACATATAATTATATACAATACGTTCTTGTAATTTACTAAAAGTATTAAGTATAGAAATAGGTCTGTAGTTTTCGATTTTCGTCTTCAGCCCTTTTTTGTGTATGGGTATAATATGTGCTTCTTTCCATATTGCTGGGACATAACCTTGCATAAAAGATCTATTATAGATAAGACATAACGGCTATATATATTAATAATAATATAATATAAGGTACCAAGTCTCCATATAAAATGGCCGTCATAACACGTAAACAGTGTCATCTATGAATACTTTTTAAACCCAACAAATTATAGAATTTTGAATTAAGAATTCAATGTTTCAGTATTCGTTTTTTTACAAAGTATATTTTTAAACTCAAAATAAAAAGTGTATTGGTATGTTTTTCTTTTTTAATTCGACATAAACATCAATAAGAAATCGATACGTAGAACGCCATCTATTGATATTTATTTGATAATAAGCATTAGAGTGTAGAAGCCGTAAATGTTAATCACAGGTTTCAATTCAATTCTCTCGTTAATGGCATCAAAGCCAGTGAGCCAGCCAGTTGCGCACAGATTATTTCACCAATATCACGTAGAATGGAAAATACAAGAGGGAGATTGGTCAGTAAAATAAGATCAATGAGAAGTTTAGAGTGTAGGCGTGTATACGTGTGGTGTCTGACCTGCCGCTGCAGGTCGCGCCGCGCGCCGCCGAACATCTGCCGCAGCAGCGACACGCTCGTGCCGCCCGCGCCCCCCGGGACCCCCGGCACCCCCGGGACCCCCGCGTCCGCCGGAACCCCTGCACCCCCCGGAGCCCCCGGAACGCCCGCGCTCCAGCTGCGAGAAAGAAATTGTTTAAACCAATACGTTTATACTGTACAGGTTAAAAGCATTAACCGTAAAAAAAAGATGTGTCTCCAAAACTCGCAACACAACAGTGCAGATTATTAAATTTAAGCAATTATTCCGTGATTATTAAAAAAAATTATAATGTCGTATTAGCAACAGTAATAATTTCTATCTACAGGCTGTGCGCATAATTACTCCACTCCTAAGGAACGTATTAAGATGTAAGATACGAGTATGAAACTTTCTTCAATAACTTTATATAAATAAAGATGAATGGTCGTATGTTTGTCTTTTATGCATTCCTAAACCATTGATACGATTGTGATGAAATTCTGGTGGGTTATTCTGTAAACTACTGCGAAAGTACTTGACCCAAAAAAAATCTTTGAACGTTTGTGCGTTTTTCTTTATGCGCTCCAAAACCATTCAAGATGAAGGACGGACCCCAACGAGGTGATGGTAGGTCGTTTGTATATTATAAAGTCCCTTTTTTATTCGTCAAATAGTTCTAAGCATTAGTATGTTCAAATAAGCAAAACTTTTCAAAAAAAACCAAAAAATGTAAAAAACAGATATATGTATATGTAAAAAATGTAATACCCGTCGTGCGGCGTCAGCGTGGGCGCCGGCGCGGGCGGCGAGCCGGAGTGCACCTGCAACGTTTATTATATTAGTACCTGGGCGACCGAGCTTCGCTCGGAGTTTTTGGCCAGAAAAAACATTAAAAAAAAAACCAAACTAAGAACTAATTATAAGAATAAATACAAAATAAACTTTGTGTCCGACCGGGATACGAACCCAGACTCCTGTGGGCTGTGGTTGTCAAACTTGCGCATGGGCCGCTTGACCATAATGCTTATATCTAAACGTGCGAAATTATCGAACATAATATTTTGCGAGGAATAATGCAAAAGAAAACCGCATGAAAATTCGAAAACACACGTTTTCCCAGACATAAGACTAATCTAGATCGATTTATCGCTACCGAAACCCCTTAATACTAAATTTCATGAAAATCGTTGGAGTCGTTTACGAGATTCAGATAATATATTGATATATATTTATATATATATATATATATATATATATACAAGAATAGCTCGTTTAAATATATAAGATTATTCATCTAGGATTACATAATATGTGATAATGCACATATTATCTCCGCAGAAATGATTTCATACCTATCCAGGTTACGATTATATATTAATGTCAACCACTGACCGCCCCAGCAGACGACGCTATGGCCGCCTATCAAGTAGAGGTCTAGTTTGTTATTAAATCGTACATACATAATGAGTACTCTAGTTCGTCCATAAATATTATAAAGATGCGAATCATCGAACCAAATCAAACATTATCGTAGGGACGCCCTCGCATCAAATATTAAGTGGTGTAATTGGTTTTAGCTCAACAGACTCAATAAAAAATTATAAATGAAAAAAATCTGTTACTCACGCTTCGTAGCTGACACTCATCCGGGTACACTATTTTCTCGTATCTGCAAACAAACAATAGTTACATTTTTTATAATAATAATAAAACTACTAAATATGAAAATTGAAATTCATTATCTCAAACATATAATAATTACCAGTGGCTCACCATCCCTTTGCTTCGGGTTCGAACAACAGAAACAAATCAATTTCTTGGGAACTGTATATTTTTCCGGGACAAAAAGTAGCCTATGTGTTATTCCAGACTGTTATCTATCTATATATATATATATATATATATGTGTGTCAAATTTCATCCAGATCCATTCAGCCGTTCTGACATGATTGAGTAACAAACATCCATCCATTCTCACAAACTTTGACATGTATAATACTTATTCAATCACTATTAATGATTTTTTTTATATTTCATTACAATTCAACATATTTGAGTTCACTGAAAATCAATGCCGCTTGAGATTTCGACCTCAGCAATATCATTTGAGTTAGTACCTTTTGTTACATTATAAATTTACTTTAAACAGTATTAATTAAAATATTTTATTTCTTATTCTATGACAATCTTTTTTAGTATTATAAATAAACATTTTTTTTTAATTTATATGAACCAGGTTAGCATCAGGTGTTTCACAGCGTCAGGCACACTCACCCGTCCTTGCCGGTGACGGACACGGGCTTGGCGCGCGGCGGCGCGGCGGGCGGGGCGGGGGCGGGCGGCGGCGGCGGCGGCAGGGCGGGCGGCGGGGGTAGGGCGGGCGCGGGGGCGGGCGGCGCGTCGGGCGCCACGCGCGCCAGGCGCTGCTGCAGGCCGCGGCCGCGCTCCACGCCCAGCAGCACGCGGTTGCTGTACAGCTGCTGGCGCTCCTCCTCCTGCTTCTTCAGCATGAACTCCTCCAGTGTCACGAACCCGACCAGATTGTCGGCCTTGTGCACTTTGGGTTTCGGTACCTGTAACATATAATTTACCATACCGTTCTCGACTCCGTTTTAATTACAAAAGCAGAAACCAACCAGACCGAGGTGTTTGCAACAGCACCTAAAATATATCGGGATGTCATACGAGTGAAAAACATGTTAAAGATCCCGTTTTATGCCATAAAATTATCTGATCCATAATCTGCTCTCATTGTATAAAATTGTGACTCCTATGATGTCGTGGGATCAGGATAAATCAACAAATATTTCCTCATAAATGAATGTAATATAAGTGCCTTAATTCTACCATATCGAAACATGTAAATAGAAAGGTGCTAAATAAAATATGAAATAAATATTATGATTACATGATGAAACTTTATATATAGACTAGTTAGTGACTCGTTTCGCTCGGGTTCGTCACTAAGTTGATTCCCCATACAAACTTTTATCCCTATTTTCACCCCCTTAAGGGACGATTTCCAGGATAAAAAGTATCCTACGTCCTATCCAGGGTCTCAAACTATCTTCCTACCGAATGTCATCTAAATCGGTTTAATAGATCCAGAGATTACCTTCTACAACGTCACGAGCTCACAAAGTTTACTCTTTATAATATTATTATAGATATAACGTGACCTGTATGGCGGGCTTGGTGACGAAGTCGCTCTTCTCGAAGTCGAGCAGGTTGGGGTTGGAGGCGTGTATGTAGTTGATGGGCTGCGGCGGCGCGCGCCGCCCGCGGGCCTGCTCCCCGCCCCCGCCCCCGCCCCCGCCCGGCGCCTTCTGCGGGCGGGCGGTCAGTACTTCTTAGGCTATAGTACATCACACTAGCCAAAGGCAGGTTAGCGTTTAATATATTGCTGTTTCTTTACAAATTATAGCCTGTACGACAATATCATATACATATTACGAAGTAAATATACTTCATGTATATTACTGTAAACCTTCATAAAAATCCGTTCAATCGGTTATGAGTAAAACAGTAACAAGCATAGACCCATACATTTTTACAAACTTTCACGATTACCAAAAATCAATAGATTATTGAAGAAAACCCTATAAAAATCGATACAGCATTTTCCGAGCTTAGCCCGAACAAATACAAATTTACCACAGCAGAGGACCTACATTTATAAATGTACCAGCACTGTAGTTACAATACTGTTACAGCTGTCATGTGACGTCATTACAAGTACCTACCAGGCGAGCATAAATGTTAAGGAGGTCGTATGCACTCTTCGACGCGGCACTACATATGTAACGAGCACTTCTCGAGGTTCGTGATCCCCTAGTACTCGTGACAAAAGTACCAGGCGATCACAGTGTTGAGGAGTGCGTATGTTATATGAAGATTGTTTTTTGTTTTGTGATATTTGTTTGTGTAAAGAGAACGTAATCAAATAAGTTTATGTGTACCTAAACTTAACTTTAATTAATTATTTTTTTACTTTTATCTAATCTTGTGCATACTGTGATTGTTTGTGAGTGGAAAAGCATTTAATCAATGTACTAATAGCATATTTCAAATTATCATATAATAATTAATGTATTTCCTGTTGACGATCCTAAATAAATAAATAAATTGTGTGCATTCTGTGCAGGTTTTTCTTCGATGAACTTTAATATGTACGCAGTACATAGCTCGGTGTGTATGCTACCCTGGTACTCCCCTAATACTCGTGCCAATGTGTATGAGCCAAGAGCGGACAGCGACCGGGAGTCCCGCTACACTGACCGGCTTTTTTATGTTTATATCTTTATATATTAATACTTACGCCACTAGGAGGCAAATATTGTTATGAAATAAAATCAAATCATTTTTTTTCTAATAAATAAAGTAAAGTGATAATAAATAAAAAGGATTAGTCAAACCTTTCCACTTTTATCTTTTTCTTCTTTAGGTTTCGTTCTTGAGAAAATTCTTAAATATTTTCTATCTAAACTAGTCGCAGCGGGTTGGTTTACATTCTCTTGTGACTCACTTCGACCCGCGCGGTGAGTTAACTTCTTCAAAGAACCAAATTTAGATTTCTCCTTTTCCTTCTCCCTCTCCCTTTCTCTTTCCCTCTCCCTCTCGCTCCTTCGCTCAGAACATTCTGAGTCTGATTCTGTTTCTGAGTACTCAGTTTCTGAGTACTGTTTCGATAGGTCCGCCTGAAAGATAAATTGTTTGATATTAAAAAATGCTTCATTGTTGATATAGTTTGCCTGGAAATATGTTGGAAACTTAAATATAGATTAATTGTATTGTTATACAAGAAACAAAGAGTAGATTCACACTATCAGTAAGACTCACGTTTCGGTCGAATCAAGCTCCAGCAACGTTTTTTGTATAGAAATACTTTGCCAGACTAGTACGGACCGAGATCGGCATTGATAGTGTTGGGTGGCAATAATAGTTCAGATTAGTAAGAATAGCAAAGTGTGGAAATAATATCTTCTGTTCTGTACCATATTGTATATAATATTTTGTGATGGCACATAAAAAGCAGTTTAGACATAGTGAATGAGGTGAACTCTAGGTAGCTAGGGTATGAACAAAATTATTAATAAAAGTGTATGTGTACTTATGAACGCACGTAAGAAGTTATACTTCTTTGATTTTTAGAACATTAAATAAAAACTAATTTTTAATGGTTTAACTTTTTTCTTATATTCTTTTGTATTCTTCTTAGCAAACTCTTGCATTTGATATCCATATCATGAGCGTGCATAAAAAACAGTCCGCCATCTCTGCGAGTTCACCATATTGGATTTACAATGACGTTACTTTGCTTATTGTGGTTCATGCGTATTTATCAAGTTGTGCTTAGAGAAATACCGGAATAAATATTTAAAATATAGAATATTGCCAATACAAACTTTATCCCCAGTTTCATCCTCATAAGGGATTATTTCCGGGTAGAAAGTATTTTATGTCTTTCCCAGAATCTCAAACTATCTTTTTATCAAATTTCATTTAAATCACTTCAGTACAACCAGAGATTACACCCTACAATGTCACAAACTCACAAACTTTACCTCTTTATAATATTAGTATAGGTAAATATATCAGATATATACTAAAGGGAGGTTTAATGACTAACTTCATATTGCATAATACTTTCTTAGATTTACGCGAATATTTGACATTTTAAATAAAACTATTTTTTCGGATTTTGTCTAAATCTGTCGCTTCGTAAAAAAATCATTTTGTCATTTTTCATAACGGAGAATTTTTTATGCACGATAAACATGTCTCATTTTGATGATCCTTCTAAGGACAGAAGTAACCATTTATTTAACTTTTGAAAAAATAACTTGTAATTTTAGCAACGACAAATAATAAAATGAAGAAATGAAAGACAAAAAACTCATCCGTACCGGCGCGGGCACGAGCGCGGCGCGCTGCAGCAGCGCCAGCCACGCCAGCATGGCGTCGCGCGAGGCCGCCGCGAAGTAGAAGCACACGCCCGTGTGGTACACCTTGAAGGCGTGCGCGCGCGAGTGCACCTCGCCCGCCGCCGCCGCCGTGAAGCCGGCCAGGCGCACCATGCAGGCGGCGCGCGCGCTGTCGGCGCCGCGGAACGCGTACAGCGCGCCCGCCGCCAGCACCAGCAGGCGCGCCGCCCAGCGCGCGCCGCCCGCGCCGCGCACGCGCTGCCACGCGCGCCCGCCCGCGCCGCGCGCCGCCAGCGCGCGCGCCGGCACCTCGCGCCGCTCTGCGACCGCACGCACACGACTAATATATCATTTTTAAAAACCTAACATCAATACGACAAACTTCTGTACATTTTTTTTCGTAATTTCATTCATATTCAATGAAATAATAAATAATAAAAATAAAAAAAGGTTTAGCATTCCACTCTACTTATTAAAAATGAAAAAATCTGTAAAAGCTCGACAACCGAACACTTCAAATTCTCATTCGATGTCTTCATCGACCTTACAAACGTCAACTAAGTAGTAACAATAACCTCCGAATGAAATGACTGTGGCATACAAACAAACATTTCTAAAAAATATATTTATCGTTTATAGACCCTAAAAGACCAACACTCACTGGCTAGTATAGAGTTTTTCTTCTTCAAGCTCCTGGACTTGGAAGAAGGGAAGAAGCCGCGCACGACGCTGCCGGTGGGCGACAGCGCGCCCGCCTTGGGCGAGTCCAGTGCGCCGTCGCTGTCCGCGCCCGCCGCGATGCTGGGCGCGCCGCCCCCGGGGGCGGGGCCCGCGGCCGGCGCGCCGCCCCCGGGGGCGGGCGGGGCGGCTCCGGCTCGCCGTTGATGGGCGGCAACTCGCGGCGCTCCGTCGAGATCAGCTTGATGTCGTGCTTTGTTATATGCCGCAGTGGAACTGATATCTGGCGAAAGTTTTTGTTTTTATCTATACTTAATATTATAAAGAAGTAAAGTTTGTGAATTGCGAGTTTGTGACGTTGTAGAGAGTAACCTTTGGATGTATCGAACCGATTTAAATGAAATTTGGTAAAATTTGGTAAGAAGATAGTTTGAGACCTGGGGAAGGACATAGGGTACTTTTTATCCCGGAAATCATCCCTTAAGGAGGTGAAAATGGGAATGATGAAAGTTTGTTGGGGAATCAACCTAGTTATAGCTATTTATTTATAATAGTTGTACTAGTATAATTACTATGTAATTACACCCACGTAAAAACACCCAAGAAACATATAAATTGATATGAGATCATTGAGTTTGGGATTCTTTATAAGGTGTAATAGTACGTAAAGAAAAAAAAAAGAAAAAAAAAAGTTGTATAGGCACCTGTGTGGCGTCCCCCGGGCGTATGGGCTTGAGCGGCGACAGGTCGCGCGTGTCGGCGGCGCGCGGCAGCAGGCGCAGCGCGGCGTGCGGCGCCCCCGCGCGCCCGCCCGCCCCGCCGCCCGCCCCCGCGCCCGCCCGCGCCCCCGCGCCCGCCCCGGCACCGCCTCCCACGTCTCGCGGTAGGGCGGGCGGGCGCGCGGCTGCGTGTGCGCGGGCCGCGGCGGCGGCGACGGCGGCGTCTCGGCTGGTCTGAATCGCTCCGTTATTCGTGGCTTAGGGTATCTGTAAACAGATATTAATAATGGTTATTTAACTCTTATTTTTTCTACATGTAAAAAAAACATTTGCTAATTCCAAAACTTAGTGCTTACTTGACAGGTATCGGTATGTCATCGCTGCTCGTGTCTGACTCTTTGGCTTTCAAGCTGTCCTCTCTCTCGATCTTCACGGCTTTCACACTCTCACTGAGCACAGTGTTGATCGTCTCGACTATCTCCAGTTTATCGTCATCGATGAGCTTAATGTCGTCATCGTAGAATATGTCCGGTCTGTCATCGTCGTGCGTCCTGCGGCTGCGCTGCTGTATGGCTTCCTCTATCTGGGAGCTGGACTTCTTGAAGTCTAGTATCTGGCCCGCCTTCTCCTGCGGCAGCGGCGACTCCGTGGTGGGCGACTCGGGGATGGGCTGCGCGGTGGGCGTCGGCGGCGCGGGCGCGGGCGCGGGCTCGTACGCGGGCGCCGAGTGGCTCTTGTCCAGGCGGCCGCGCGCGGCGGGCGGTGCCGGGGCGGGGGCGGGGGCGAGGGCGGGGGCGGGCTGCGCCGGGGCGGGCGCGGGCGGCGGCGCGGGGGCGGCGCCCAGCGGCCGCGGCACGCCCAGGCAGGTGCGCGGCCGAGGTGACAGCTGGAGGCCCGTGCTGCATGAGACTGCCTGAAATCAATGTCCATACTAATGTTATACATAAAATAATAGGTGAAATATAATGCAACACAAACAACTAAAGTCAATATCGGTCCTCTTAAAAATAAGTTTTTTAGTATTAAACTCAAAGAATTTTGTTTGAAAATGTTACATTTTTGGCATTCATATGTTTATTACATGAATTTTTATTAAATATTTATTTTATTGTGTATGTATTCAGCTCTTCTTAACGTCCCACTGCTGGGCACGGGCCTCCCTTCAATACTCAATATTTTATTAAATAAAGTTTATATATAACAGTGAGCGTCCTATCTCTCTCTCTGAGCAACAAGCACGTACCTTGTCGCGGCGGTAGAGCGCGGCGCCGGGCGCGTCGTGCCAGCGCCGCTGCTGCAGCTGCTGCCAGAACTGCGCGCGCACAACAATGGTGGGGCACAACCGAAAGAACAACCAAAAGGATTCGGTTAATATATGTCAATAATAAATCATTTTTACTATGGATTTTTTTTTTTGTATTTTTGAAAATCATTGTATAATTTTGTGTGTAGATGATGTCTGTAACAACTATATAAGTAGACCTTTGAGTTGTCTAAAACCTTAGTCTTTACCGTGACCATGATTGCCGTAAAGCATTCGTTCTGAAAACCAAATCAACGGTCAAAATAAATCCGCGAAATAATTTGAAAACATATTTTTATTTAAAACTAAGGACACACTCTCGCTTCGCTCGGGTTCGTCCCTAGGTGATTCTTTAAATTGACATAACTTTTTTTTCTTTATGAAACGATTGATATAAAACAAATTTTAAGTGAAGCTAACCAAAATATATTAGTGAGAACCGCACCCAAATCGGTAAAGCCCCTTCTGAGATTATCGCGCATAAACGCACAGACGAATAGACAAAAATTCAAAAAATCATTGTTTTGGGTTCTTTTGCGTTAATAAAGATCCACAATAATAGTTTGTGACGTGATAACGTCTTAACATGGGGTCTCATTACGAACAAAATAAAAATTAATTAAAAAATATTATACCAGATGGCGTAATATGTATCGATTTGTTTTTAATGTTCACTTAAAATTCCAAGTATAAAAAAAATAATGAAAAAAGTGTTTAACCAAATTTTAAAGAATTATTTAAAGTAAGGGAAAATTAAATAATGGATAAAATAATACTATTTAAAAAAAACTCTATGATATTTTTGTATTTCTGGCAGCAATAATAGATACTACGTTGTGATAGCACGATCTTTGATAATAATTATGTATACTCTGTTCACAGATGGCGCTCAATATAATAAAAAAGTTGATAAATGTAATTAAATTATTTTATTTTACTTTGATACCGATATATTTCATAGGTTAATTTCGTTATTTCTCGTTTCAATTTTTTGCGTTAAAAAATAATGTTTATAGACAATTATACAAAATTATGATAATTCAGCGATAATTCAATTCATAAAAGTATGCAATTTTTCATCAACGTTTTCTTATGACGTTATTACATAAAATTATCGTTTGTAAACCGACTTTACAGAAAACCAATTTTTCTCCAATATCTTCTGTGTACAGACAGCGATCAGTTACAATTTTATTATATGTATAGGTGTCGAATATTCGTATAAATTTAAGAAAATATTTCATTTAAAACGTCAAGTATTAGCATTTCGGCAATCCTAAGAGAGTTTAACAAGAGTGATATCGATGTGAACGTGTATACGGTGTGTTCGGTACGCACGTGGTCGATGACGAGCGGCGGGCGGCGCGCGGGCGGCGAGCCGCCGCACACGGAGTGGCGCCGCGCCGCCGCCAGCGCCGGCGCCGCGCGCGCCCTGCCACCGCGACCGTCATATATATAAACATTTACACTGACCATTAAACATTCAAAATGAATAACTCTAAATAAAAAAATTAAAGACATTGCTAATTATTTATATAGAGCAATATTATAAATATACGTATACATTATCTTATTATGCGACGTATCTAATGCCACTCTTTATTCCGGAGACCTTTCTCCCACAGAGATATTCATGAACTGTACGATTAAAACGCGAACCGTTGGTCGCCCGCCTACTGATTTACTATCAAAGTAGCACGCCACTACCGGCGCGACCGGTAGCGTGCGGTCGACATCAGACGCGTAGTCGATGCGTCCGATTTTATATGATTGTATTCAGCCCTTTTCTTAACTTTCTAAATTTGGGGGTGGGCCTCCCTTCAAGATGTGGGGGATCAGGCCATAGTTAGTGCGGATTAGCAGATTTCACATGCCTTTCGAAAACTTACTAGATTTTCTCAGACATGCAGGTTTCTTCACGATGTTTTTTTTTTCACCGTAAAACCGGTGAAAATCATGTTAGAAATGATTCACACATGAAAATATTAGAAGTGCGAGACCCGGGATTTGAACCCGCTTCATTCGAATTATAAAGAGAGTGCGTTACCACTGAGCTATCAATGGCTCCCTGGCCATGGTCGTCCAGTGGTCAGGACCCTACGTCGTATGGTAACCACCACTATGGGATATCAGTAGCGTGTGCATACAAAACTTGACTCGTTTAACCAGTGTCGCGGGAGATAGCCCTCACGTGTATAACTGCTTAACGAGTCCTGTGTTCGAGTGGGAAATGTTTCTGTCGAGGTGTGGTGGGGTGTGGTGGGTGCGGTACCGTGGCGCGGGCGCGGCGCCGGCGGGCGCGGCGGGCGAGGTGGGCGACGCGGGCGGCGACAGCGCCTCGCTCTCGTCCGACGACGACGGCGGCGCGCGCGCGCCCCCGCACGCGCCCCACCACTCCAGCTCGTACCTGTTAAAGAAATATTTAAATTAAATTAAGAGAATTATCATGGATATTAATAATATGAAGCTCATTAATTGGCATAGTCGAGTTGCCATATGATAAAAATTAGATTTACGCTTAGAGTATACATATACTATAGAGCGCGCGTATCGCTCATTGTCCATTATGCGAAACGTAAGCAGATGTTCTATACACACCTATTGATACATACTCGTAGATGAAGCGGTTGAATAGTGATGCGCCTAGTAAAACTTTTAGAATTTAATTTAAAAAGAAGTATATTAACATAAACTATTTAACATAACCATTTATTCACGCACATATAGACTTCATTATCTAAAATTACTGTAGTTCAAATTAATATATTTCATTTGTAAACCTATATAATAATAGTGTTATTTTGATTTTTTTTATATAATATTTAACTAAATTAAAATTATATATTATTCTCTTTAACTTTTAACATTGATGCAAGACGACTAATTAATAAAGTTTTCTAAAAAAATTGTAATAATTATAATAATAATAGCTAAAATGAAATAAATAATATTCCATGCAATTATTATAAAACTTATTAAAATAATAAAAATCTTTAAAATTAAAATTAAGTAGTATTGTAAAGTACTTTGGCGCCATTAAAATTTAAAGGTTTTATTTTTGACAAATACAAACAATCTTAATTTATAATACTATGGTTATACAAAATATTCGAGAAGTACAACGTGGTACAACCCTAGCTCTTAATGAGGGGAAGTGAGAAGCGGGGGGCGCGGAAGCCCGCGCGCCTCCCGCAACACCCGCTCACGCCTGTGTAATTTTGTTAAAATCTATATTTTTCTGATTAAAATATTGTGTACCGATGAAAAGAAATATTTTTTGTTCTTTTTAGTTTGCTTCCATGTTTTGCATTTTTACAGCTTGGAACTGCACATTTCACCATGATTACAATATAATTAAATACGGACGAGAGAAACAATTAGTGCGCTTGTCTTTTCGTGACTAATCGCATCGCCCTTGACATTTCGAGTGTTCATACCTGTGCATTATATATATATATAGTAGTTCATATTTGATTACACGCGCTCTATAGCCTAAGTATACTCTAATGATTTACGCGAATATTTGACATTGTGTATGTATGAATATTTGATATTGTATACAGAGTGGATTTTTGTGACAGAACAGTAAGAACAGGTACCTTAACGGCTCTAGTTACAAGAAAACATTCCTAGGAGACAATCCATAATTTTTTTAAATATGTTGAACTGCATTCACAGATTTTGAAAAAATGTATAGTTAGCGAAAAAAATACTAAAATACCAAAAAAATTTTTTATGTCAATCGATCCCATTTCATGTAGGGATAAAAAAACTCTATGGGATCATTTAAGGTATAAGTACCAGAAATTACCAAAATCGCTAAAAACTTTTCCTACCCTTACTGTCTCGTCTCAAAAACCACCCCGTATTATTTTTATTATTTATTCTACTAGACTTGAGGGTGTACGGTGCGGCCACGCACCTGAGGCGCAGGTGCGCGTGGTGCGGCGGCAGCAGGCGCGCGCGGGCGCGGGCGCGCGGCGCGCGCGGCGGCGTGGGCAGCGCGGCGGGCGCGCGCGCGCCGCGCCGGCGCAGGCGCAGCGCCAGCTCGCCGCCGCGCGCCGCCGCCGCGCACGCGCGCTCCACGGCGTCGCCGCCCCAGCCCAGCACGCAGGCGCCGCCCACCTGCACGATCTCGTCCGCCTCGTGCACGCGCCCCGACGCGTGCGCCGGCGACGCGAAGCGGATGTGCGCCAGCTGGTGGTGGCCGCAGAACGAGGGCACCACCTCGAAGCCCAGCGCGCGCTCGCCCTGGCGCAGCGCCACGGCGTCCAGCGACGCCGGCTGCAGGATCATGGGGTCGGCCACGTCCTGGATCATGTAGTCGGCGAGCGCGGCCAGCGCGGCGGCGGCGGCGGCCACGGCGCGCGCGGGCTGCTCGGCGAAGCGGTCGCGCTGCGCGCACGTGGCCGCCTCCAGCGACAGCTTCAGCAGCGCCGCCTTGCGCTCCGCCAGCGGCGACCGCGACCCCAGCGGCCACCTGTTCGATCGAGTTCAAAAAAGGCCACTTTTCACAGGTTTTCACTTTTAAACCAACAATTATTCAACTTAAGTAAATAAAAAAAAGACAGGTGCCAGTCTAACTCGCACACCGAGGGTTCACGTACAAATATGTGACTTTCGGGTTTTTCCTTTTACTTGTACTAAGTTATTGCTTCTTACCAACTTTCATGATTTTAATCAACTCCATGACAAACCTATTTGATATTAATTGCAATTTCATACCTCCACACCTTCCTGAGAAACAGACAAAAAGACAGACAACAAGGTGATCCTATAACAGTTTATTTTTTACTTTTGTGATACGGAAACTTAAAAAAACGCGGTTTTTTTCCTTACTTTCTAAACCTAACATAATAAATAGCCTATAGCACACACAATCGGAGATAATGTACCCTTTATAAGCAATCTCTCACAGACAATCTTTGGTGAAAGGATTAGTTTTCGTTTACGGTTCCAGTAGACAGAGACAGATGGATTGGCGTGATTTTTTATGTAGAGATAGTTGGAAGACTGGAGAGTGACGTAAGCCATTTTTACCGCAAGGGATTATCTCATTCCCACGGGAAACACGTTACAATACAACCCATAAAAACTAATCACACCTTTATCATAATATATATGTAGACTATCTATTCCATAGGGTCGTCCCTATAAACCCGAGCGAAGCGAGTGTAAGTTGCTACTCGCGAATGTAATTAAAGAATATATAATAAATAAAGCTGACCTATCCAACCAGCAGACGAGCGGCTTGACGGCGTGCACGGTGCGCGCCACGTCGGCCAGCGAGTGCGTCTCGAGGCGCGCGTCGGCGTGGTGGCGCAGCGCGCGCGCCAGCGACCACGCCGCCGACGACACGCGCAGCGCCAGCTGCTGCACGCACTCGCGGGAGATCTCGTAGTGCTGCAGTTACACAACATTCGACCTTCATTACTTACTAATTAGACTTATTTTACTATTGTAACTACTATAACTTAGTGTATTATGTACAATATTACACAGTCGAGAATTAAGATATGATTCAAATTGTGTCGTATAAAAAGAAATAATTGTTTTCTGCATGAGGTTTAGTGAGCACATTTATTAATTATATTCAGCCCTCTAACATCCCACTGCTAGGTCATGATTCTCCCCCTCCTCCTCAGTGCAAGAAAATAGTCCACCAAGGTAGCTAAGTGTGAGTTGGTTGAACTTAACATGTTTTTCAAAAACTTGCTCTGTTCTCTCAAACATGCAGAATTTATAATTATATATTGCAAGTGGTAATTATGTTATAAATAATTTGCACTGGGGGTCCAACCTCCTAAGCCTCGAGAACTTCTAACCACCGTGTCACTGGGCTATCACTGCTGTTAGAGGAAATTTTTTTATTGAAAGTAATTTTCTCATTTAGTAATCAAAATTTTGTATACCCAATATGTTTGCTCCTATAATCTAAATGACATACAAGGAATCAAATATAATATAATGCCCCTAGAGCACTGGAAAAAAAAGCTAGTTATATTATAAAGCAGCACAAACAATGACAAATAATATTTTGTAGAATAATGAATCATAAAATATGTCTTTTGTGGTCATTCATAAAACATGGTGAAAATTTCATTTTACATCATAAAAAACATGAGTATTAATCCCTCCACGAACGCGGACACACCGGCATGTCAGTTAACAATAAATTTTTTTGAAATTTAATTAATTTCTTAGAATTTACACGAAGGTGTTAAAAAAATGCTTAATTGTTGAAATGTGTGACTGCAATGAATCATAATGTGAAAAGAGAATTACTCAATAAATATAATCCTGGTAAACAAACGAATTAAAAAAATACAATAAATAACTTTCTGTGCTCACTTTTACAACACAGTATTTGAAACGTGAAACATATTTTAAAACTTTAAAAACAGTATTTACTTTTTAAAATACTTACAGCAAACTTTTAACAGAACACGACAACCATTAAGCAAATCATTTAATGTTTTAGAAAATAATTTCATATAGGTAACTAAAATAACTAAAAAATAAATAAAGTATTATTTAAATTAAACAATAATTATTATTTTTAGGCATACTAGAAAAACAATCTGGTATTATGTTTCTCCCTACCATATCTACAGGAAGTGACAATTTTATATAAGCAGATAGTTCTTACATACAGTATTTATGTAACAAGATCATAACAGGTAATGTTATGTACTTTTTAGTGGTTATGAGTAATAATTTTACAGTCTATATTAAAGCTACATAATATAACATTACTTACAAAATTTCGCAAATGTTCTACGGCCTCCAAGAGCAATTCCTGGTGGCCTATGATGTTTATGCCTAAATATTCCAGGTCATCACATCGAAGTGTCAATAGCTTGGCGCCATTCAGTCCTTTTTTGTGTAGCTCTGGAATGTACTGCGCCACTTTGGGCCCCAACCCTGAACAACAAAACACCGCTAATGACTCACCGTCCAGAAGCAAAGCTATCGCAACACCCCGCTACAAACCTGACATCCATTCTGCGACTTGGTCGGGCGTCCATTCTGGAATGTTTAAGCTCTCCATGATGTTATCTTAATTTAATATCACTATCAGATGCTTTATTATTCATTTTTTGTAAAAATATCCCAACAAAATATTTATCAACCAGCCAACCGTCCAATGTTTATTGTCACTGAGTGTCAGTCAACTACTAACTGTCAAAACACCGTCACAAGACTAAATTTTAATCTGTAAACACTGAAGCAAAAATTATATTCGATCGTACCAAATTAAATATAAACAAATAAGTAGCCTGTAAATTTAATGTAAAAAATTAAACTCAAAAAAAAAAAATTATTTTTCATGAAAAATGTATAGGTATATTTCTTTTTTTATAATTATATATAAAATTTATGCAATGGCAACTTAACATTTTGTTTTCTTCTCATGCCGTGAGATGGCGTCTGTATATGCTTGATGTGGATTGTGGATAATATTAATTTTAATTTGTAATCTATATTCTATACCTACATATAATAAAATTGTAACTAAGTCGAATCTGTACATTAAATATTTTTTTGAAAATCTAATTGAAATAGACATTATTATCTGTTAGTATCTGTTAGTTTATTACTAGTATTACTGTCTGTCTGTCTGTCTGTTACCGCATCACGAGAAAACCACTGGACAGACTTTGATGAAATTTGGTATGATAATAGCTAGGTATCCGGTTCAACATATAGGATACTACTTACCGCGGGAAAATATCTCATTTCTGAGAAAAAAAATACAAAAACTGCAATGTAAAGAGTATACTAATATGTAAAACCTAAGAATTTGGTTTTTGGTCATCTGAACGCTGGCGGAGCCGCGGGCAATGCTAGTTTATAATAAAATTCTGAGTCGAATCTTTTTGATAAATGTTATTGAAACAGTCATTATTATCCGAAGACGATACAGAGACCGAATCTATAGTTTGTAGAGTTTTTGTCTGTCTGTCTGGGAACGAGAAATCACGAGAAAACCACTGGAGAGATTTTGATAAAATTTGGTATAATGATAGCTGGTTATCCGGTTCAATAACAATATATAAGATAAGTACATCTTACTGCTTCTCATCTCGGAGACATTTATTATAAACGTTAAAATGTATCTCTACAGTATCTAGGGACAAACCCGAGCGGAGCAAGGATAAGTCGCTACTTTTACTATCTATAACGCAATTTTGCCGTTTATAAGACCAGCCTATTATACGTTTTTTTTTGTCAGAAATTTTTTGATAATTCAGAAATTGAAACTTCTAATTTTTTACTTATTTATCTTATAAATATAGAGGTACTCAATTCATTCAATATAGATTAATATTATCTACATAATAATGCCTCCCGGTCTTGATCAGGTCTTAACTACAATTCCAACAACCTTTAGTAATTACAGCATACCCAACATAACCCAAGCAAAAAAGTGACTGTCTACAGTACTGAATTAAACTGAATTAAAACTTAGGTACATCTAACGACAAAGTACTCAGCCCGAAGTCGTTGGCTACATCCTATCTTACGTAATATTATAAATGTAAAAGTTTAGGTGTTTGAATGTTTGTTACTCAATCACGCTAGAACGGCTGAACGAATCTGGATAAAATTTGGCACAGATATAGATTACCTATAGTCTAGATTCTAGACTCTAGAATAACACAGCAGCTACTTTTTATCCTGAAAAATTTACGGTTCCCGTGAGATAGATTTGTTTTTGTTTTTTTAGAGGATTTTTTTAAAACATATTATTCTGATAGACAACCGAAAAGTATTGTTTCCCTTACAAACCTTGTCACCATTTTTCAACCCTCTAGAGGTTGAAGTTCAAAAATCCATTCTAACGGCTTAAGTTGTTAGGTGGCTAATAGCTTCTGTATATCTTTTTAACAGTTGCATTGTATGCCTACAATGTAGATTAATTCATATGGGTTATAAGCTATTTTAAAATTATGCTTGTCAGGTTTTATATTACTGTCATAAATTTTATATTTTATAAGTATTCCAGAGTATTATGAAATAGAGTTGGGAGCGTTAGATTGGATATACCACGGAACTTCATTATGACGAATACAGAATACCCCAAATCACAAAATAACGTAGGTACACTACGTTATTTTGTGATTTAACTGAATCTACTTATTTGGTTTCCATAGATTTTTCAAAAAATTAATTTATTTGTACTTTTTTTTAATTATACTGTAGTTTGTGGTACTAGCTAGAGGATAGACTGCTCAAAGATTATCTAATAGTTTCTTTTAAAAGCTAGATGAGATGCAAAAATATTTTTATAATGAATATTTAGGTATATTATCAAATTATTATTAAATTAAAATAAATATATAATTTTATAATTTATAACTAATTTGATAATAATACTTATCCATCATAAAAATAGGTCTAGCGGCCCTATTATTTCAGTCTAAAAACTTACTAATACTATTACTTAAATAATTAATGTAAAAACTCTATGTTACTTTATTATTATATATATTTATGTTGTTTATTATTATGTAGTGTCTTAATTTATTGATAATAAACTATTTTTTCTATATTATTATTCGTAGAATGTACATTTTTTACGTTTAATTAAATATTAAATTCTTTATATAACAATTAAACTAGTATACCTATCTAAGTAAGGTACAAAAAATGAGCTGTATTAAAATAATTTTATTACAAAATTTTTAATTTGCACACTGGCCGTTTCAACGGGTTGTTGTCGAGTGCGCACTAATCAAATGGCGGATTTCACGCAATTAGGAGGTGGCCTCGGGTGATGTTCCATACAAGTTCTTCCTGGTACTTCTCTGGGCTGCAGTTTCGTATAGGTATGGGACGCGGCTTCTGGAGGAGTGGATGGTATTTTTGGATAGCAGTGATATGGAGTCGAAATACTTATATAAAAAATATTTTGAGGAAATTCAGGAGTTAAATGTTATGCTATCGAAAAATAGCATCCACTCCTCACGAGGCCGTGTCCCATTTACTAAGCTTGTGCCCTTCTCTGATAGCAGAGTGGACCGAGTTAGCCCCTGGTTGTTGTGGTCCGCCTCGGTAGACTTACCGTCTGGACCTCGTGGTTGAGTACGTAATGGATGCAGCGACCCCCATTGAGACGAGGAAGGCATTACTCGTACTGGTCTTATCTCCATTTGAGTCTCCACATAACTACCTGTATGTAGGTATGCAGGCGGTATGCGTTAATGCATACATTACATTTATAATCATACCTATTAGTTCTTACATTGTATGGTAGGTATGCTTCAGGTGAACTGTGGGTTAGGTAAATACTAGGTAAATACTAAACAGAACAATTTGAGAAGTCGAGGAATTTTTCCATTACCTATTAATATTATTAGTTATAGACTATTTTTCACTCTAAATATGATCATTAATGAGCATAAATATGCTCATTTCTGATAGTAGATTTTAAGTGTTTTAAATTAATTTACAAAGATAATTGCAATTTTATATAAAAGGACAGTCATCAATACGTAAATTGTTATTATTTGTAAGTAAATTATTGTAATAAAAATTAAATTGTTCTACTATAGCTAAATAATATGTTAGCGTAATATTTTTATAGAGATATCGTCATCTCCGCTTACGCCAGAATGGTTGAACCAAACTAGATGAAATTTGGCACAGAGATAGATTATAGTCTGGAATAGCACACAGGTTACTTTGTATCCCGGAAAAATGTACGGTTCCCGTATGACAGATTTGTTTAGGGGCGAACCCGAAACGAGGCTATGAGTGGCTCGTGTCTATTATATTGGTATTAAATGCACGTGGTACTTCAATAAAGCCTAAAAATGTAATTTATCTATATATTTACCTATATAAATCTTAGCTATAAAGTTTTGCTTTGAAACAGATTAAAAAAAATCTCTACTTGGCATACGCGATGCGAGCGTGGAAAGACCGATTTAGCGCCTATTTTATTAGTACCTACCATAACGATTTAGTGTGTGCCAAGTGCACGAGGCGTAAAATATCTTTACTAATTATAATAATGAACCCAACTAAACTACCATTTAGTAAAGCGTTATTAATTTGTAATATGTGCTAGGAATAGTGTACAAAATTAAATAAGAAACTGCACACTACAAAAATATATGAACAGCTAGTAAATCACCTGCATACATAAAAATAATATATATTTGAAAATATGAGAAGTCTCTTGTGTAGAGTTACTTAAATAGACGTTACTATCTTTATGGCCACCTAATGTTAGTACGCACGTACCACCTAATCGGGGCATCGCATAAATATGACAAAATGGCCTCGAAAACCTTATAAATCACTCAATTAGTGCGCGCGCGGCGTAAATCACGCTATCTGTGATAAGGATGAGATAGAGCAGTTGTCGCCTTTATGACCGCGCGTGATGTTTAATGTGTTCGAGCGACACTCTATGATTGATGAAGGTGGCATTGTATGTGTCAACGCACTGCGACTGGGTTATGCCTAGGCGTACCATCATTTTCTTTTTAAATATACATATACAGACGATAATTAGAAATTTTTAAGACCACTAATTTTGTTTCATACATAAAATTCACTTACTTCTTTAACTAGGTATAACGCTCATCAGCCACAACTTCTTCTACTACACAATCTAAAAGCTGAAATCCGAAAATCGAGTCAGGTCTACCTATAGGGTTCGATGTGTGCGCTACGCATTGTACCAACAGTCAACACCTCCATCATATAAGAAATACATTAGGTACGCCTTTTCATTTAGGTATATATAAAAAAAAACAATATATATAAGTATACCCGGTACTAATTCAACCTTCGAAAAAGTCGACAGGTCAGCACACTTTCACATAATAATAATAATAACTGTATTAATAATGAATTTAATTGATTAAAACTATAATCTATATAAATAAAAATGAATGTTGCTAACGCAAAACTCGAGAACGGCTCGACCAATTCAGCTATTTTTTTTCGTACGTTCCTTAGATACACGGAAAGTTTTAATAAAGAAAAAAAATATGATATCAGATATATATATATATATATATATATATATATATATATATATATATATATATATATATATATATATAAGTATATTATATAAAACAAAGTCGTGAATTACACCATTTATAATTCAAGAACAGCTGGACTAATTTTTATGACATTTGATTTTTGGATTTGTCTCAGTTTGGAACTGGATAATAAGTATTAAAACAACAGAAAAATTAGCGAAAAAAATTATATAGCTCACGCTGGCTAATAACTATTTATTTTTATTTAAAACGTAGGTACCTAGCGACGAACCCGAGCGAAGAGAGGGTGAGCCGCTAGTGTGGAAATAAAGGTACTAGTGACTGTAAAATATACTACGACTGCAATTTTAGCAATGTTCATATGTAGTTTAGTTGAGTTGGGAAAGTCTACGAATGCCCCTGTCAAATGGTTTACCTACTTAGTCAATCCTGGTACCTACGAGTAAGTATGTCTAATGTGCAGACTGTAGACTGCAGAGTATCTAAATATGAGGACAATGGCGCTGCTGATGAATTGATAGTCTTTGAATGAAACACGAAAATAGTTCGGATGAGCCCTAGATTTGAATAATTATTATTGAGTAACTGCTCTCTGCAAGTGTTCGCGGCGCGAATGGGAGGTTTTATTTGTATTTTAATTTTAAGTGATTAAAATAACTTTAAAGCAAGATTTTCAATTATAATTTTAATGAATTCTCTACTTTGTTATTATATACCTATAATTGGATAAAAACTATAATTTTTTTTGTTAGCCAATTAGCGCTAATTTTTAGCCGACTTTTAAAACTGGAAGTAAGTCTATAATCCTTATAACTTTTTATTTATGAACCAATTTTGTTTATTTCTTTTGCATTGTGCTCGATGTAGTCTCATTATTCATATTTACATTTTAACCTTCAACTACGAAGACACACTTTAACGATACGAATATGTAATTTGAATTATTATGATTAAGTATTTATAGGTAAATAATATCAGCGTCGTCAATTAATATAAAATTTACTAAATTCCTCTGGTAAATACATGAAATTGCTTTCATATTACACATTCTCTACCTACCATTACGCTTACACAAAAACGACATTTTTAAAATCCCATTATCCCATAAATCCGTACTAATATTATGTGAAAGTTTATGAGGATGGATGGATGTTTGTTACTTAATCACGGATGAACGGATCTGGATGAAATTTGCCACAGAGATAGATTATAGTCTAGAATACCACATAGGTTACTTTTTATCCGTGAAAAATAAACTGTTTCCGTGGGATAGATTTGTTTTTGTTATTCACTAAAGACAAACCCGAGCGAAGCGAGGGTAAGTCGCTAGTAAATAAGAAATCGACTTCAAGGTACCTACGAAAAAGTATAAAAGGATGCTTGGTTAATGGTTAGTAAGAACTATATTTCCTGAGTCGGCCGAGGCAAGGCAACAAAAATTAAGTAGAAGACCTATCATTAGGTATTTACTTTAATACGCTTAAAATTACTTAAATTCAATTAGTTTACCTATTATTTTAAATAAAACTATCTTTTCGGATTTTTTCGCGAATTTATTTTGATTTTTGGTTCCCGACGTTTCGAATGTTTTACAGCAATCATGGTCACGGGAGAGACTGAGGTGTTACATGTCTTGAAGGTATAGTTGTTACAGACAGCCTACACACAATTAACAAAATGAAAATTGCACCAATATATTCAAATATAAAAATATAAATAAAATGTCAAGTATTCGCGTAAATCTAAGAAAGTATTAGTATACCTATCTATAAAGTTAACCTACTACAAATAATTAAAAAAATAAAAATATTCCACACACATGTACCTACCTAAATATACCTATATGCATTTAAAAAAAATGTCATTTCTAAGATAAGAAATAATCTAAATATAGATACTAAAAAACAAGAGAACAAAAAACAATCAATTAAAGACTCTTAACATTTAACATGACATCGTCGGGTCGTCGATGGGAATTTATCGCCGTCTTGTAGATACCGCTGCAGCCTGCGCCCTGCAGTAGGTAGGTACCCATACACCGCGCCTGATACCATCTCTAATATAAAGTTTTATTATATTACCTACGCTGCATCTCGCCTTGACACTTGACAAGGAAACGCAGCGTTTTAGTGCATCTGTAGATAATAATTTGATAATATATTTTATACTTAAGTTCTGTAAATAATAAAAGTAGCTCATTTTGATTCACTACCTGCCTGTTTAGTCGATTATAGTGTGTTTTTTGTTTTTCCGTCTCGTTAACCGTTTGCGATTTACATGTTCGTTTCCCAAAAATCCAAAATGAAATATATTTGCTAAATATCTACTCGTATAAGTAAAGAAGATATTTTCACTTTTATTATTGTTGAAAATAGAATCTTGTTCTGTATACTTACTGTGAGCCGTTCGTACCTACCTATCTGCTACACAGCATGCACCGGTAGGGGTCACTACTCACTACGTCGATCACATATTATGTATATATTTATCATATTTTTTCCATTTTGGTAATAATTAAATAAAACATCCAATTAAAAGGATTTATTATCTAGAAACGCCTGAATTACTTTATACAAAGTATTTTTCCACTTGGAAGTGTTTAGGTATTATAAAAATTTAGATATTTTTAAGTTATTATTATTAAGAACACTAATTAGTAATTTTTATATTACGTGATGAGTAAGTTGAGATGTTTGAATGATAATTTGACGGTTGATTTTTTGTTAAGTTTCGTAATTTAGATTATGACCAGACGAAACCAGAGTTTTCTCTGGTACACTGTTGTATAGGAGGTATATACTTTAATATATAGAAGGCTATCTTGTATATTATAGGTATATCTTATTAAGTCTCTATATAGTATCTTAGTAAGTAGGTATACCTCTTATTTTTATCAATTCTTATGATGTAATATTATTAACACCTCCAGGTAAATTTCTAAGAAATTAATTAAATTTCTAAGAAATCTTTTGTTAACTGTAACGCCGGCGTGTCCGCGATCGTGGAGAGATTAATGGTAGGTGGTGACAAATATGTACGTACCTATATATGAATAATTGTATGTACGAAGGTTTCCTTTTATTACATACCTATGTACCTATATATCGAAACGAGAGTGAAGTTAGATACGACTTTGGGGCAAAAAGAACATTTATTATGTACTAAGAAAACTCTAACAGAAAACTGCCTAAAAATCTAACAAAGATTGACATATCATAGTATTTAGCTATACCTACTAGTAAATTACATGCGTAGATTAAAAACTTACATGCGTAGATTTTTTACCATTCTATACATGGTAAAAAGGTAGGTTAGCAATACCTACTATACAGTTTCGATTATTTACTTAGACTCCACTTCAAACACTTATATATGGGTAAAATAAACATTTTTTTTTTTTAATTTACTCTATATATTTTATATCCAGGTATATTCCGGTAGAGATTTTGTGTGGCCTGCTTAATTCCAGTGACACCTCACTCCTTGTACCTCCTCGCCTTCCTCCGCCTTGTCGAACCGTTAGCAGTCATTCTTAACCAAAATGTGCCGTACAGTGTCCCGCGCCGCGCCGCGGGAGCAGCTCGTTTATATCTAATACTAATTAGAAACCCATCCGCTCGCCGTACAACGGCCACCCACGAGGACGCACTAGATTCCTCGACGCACGTTTTTTTCCACCCTAATTAAGCTAATTTATCGAGACAATAATGGAAATTATCGCCGGTCGGTCGGTTGGTAGCCGCTTTATGAGAGGTATTAAATCGTCGGGTTTAAGAGCTACCGCGCTACACCGGCCGGCCGTCCGCTGCTTGACGACGGCCTGCTCGAGCTTGATGTTCCAATAAATATATAGATAACATCTGATAAGGTTCGGGTAAAGCCTGCACTAGAATGTGTCGATGTGAGGTGCCGATGTCGGGATAGTGACGATTAAATGAGTATTTTATAGCGAGCACTAATGCTCTCCTCAATGGACGGCCGCGCTCCCCGGCCCGGTGTGTGGGACGCGACACGAATTCTTGTTTATCTGAATGCGTAACTCGAGAGGATATTATCTAGGTATGCGAGGGTTTGTCACCTTCACATCTTGTTCGTGTGATACAGCCTACATACCTAACTGTACCTATATGCGAAAAATATCTTTTTTATATATACCTACGGAAATCATTTTGTTATACAGTATATGTACGAAGGACATGACTTACATAGTATGTGACCGGAAACGATAAGACATTTAACTTATTTTTATTTAGGTAGGTATTTATGTTCTATTTAACTAAGTATATGATTTAAGTCAAACATTTTTTATAACAATTGTCGATTTATATTATAAAGTATGTGTAATTAGGCTAAGACAAAGCAGTCTCCTCTGCTTGTCAACCCCATTTTTTTAAATTTTTTGTTCAGTAGCTTTTGACGAGCTTTATTTAGTGTAGGTATCAATAAAAAGTTTTGGAAACAGTTTTCTTATACGAGTATAGACATTATAATTTAGATAGGTAAAGACAGAACAGTTCATTATATTACGTCTAAATTTTCAATAATGATTCGAATTCTAGTAAGTGTTATATACTTACCATATACCTACAAACGTATAGTAAAAAAATGTTAGACGTCAGACTTATCTATACATATTTTATTATATTGTCTTCTTGAAAATGTGTAATTGATATCGTTTCACTCATTTTTAAAAGAAGTCTACGACAAAAAGTCTTCATCGTTATAAGATACATTAGATTATACATATATAGGCCTAAAATGCTACAGCAGTCTATATGCAAATCTTATTACTTGCCATATATCGGTATAGGTATTTACATAATTAAATTAAGTGTAAGCAACTAAGTTGTGGTCGTAGAAGGTTAAATAAGAACTTGGTGTTTGTACTTTTGTTGGGAGATGATAAGTATCTTATCCAACTACAGCTATGTATATGACTTTGCAGTGTAAGATGGAACTGAGACGATGTTTCATTATAAGAAGCTACTTCATTTCTAATAGCTAACCTTTAAGTTTCATTTTATGTAAAAATCTACTGCACGTTTGCAAAAAAATTAGTTATCTTTTCACAACACATCCATAAAATTTCTTGGAAAACAATACACACTGACAATGTACATCTATGATGTATAATGGTATTGAAAAGACGACTAAGTATCTACCTAATCATCAAAATTCGCATTTGTATTGTCTTAAAAGATTTCAATAAAATAAAATAAATATAAATATGTCAGGACATTAACACACAACACCATCTAGTTCCATGGTAAGCTACGAGGCTTGTGTTATGGATAACAGATAGTTGATACATTATACATACATAACTTTTGAAAATAAATACATATTATAAATATAAACACCCATGACTGGAGTACAAATATTCGTGCTCATCACACAAATGAATGCCCCCAGCGGGACTCGAACCCGCGACCGCTGGCGTTGCAAGTAGGTTCACTACAAACTGAGCCAAACGTGTCGTCAAATAGTTTCATTCATGCATTTTTGATGCAATACCTACACTTCATTAAAGAAGACCAAAGCACCGAATGATTTTTGAAAGATTTTTACAAGCTTTTATTTAACTTGCCGTGTCAGTAGGTATGTCAGTTTGGATCAAATCTTGTAACTGAATTTTAACTTGAAAACGAAAATAAACTTAAAATTAAATCAAACCCATTAATTTATTACATTACACAATTTATCTTGATGTTCTCCTGAGCGATTCCGGCCACGGCGGCCAATTTCATTGAGACTAGCCAACTGCGCAGGAGATATTATAGTGCACAAGTGTACGCGCAGACACAGGTGCACTCTCTGTTACTGTCACTCTCATACTCCGGTGGGACGACTGCTCGACACGACCAGTGAGAGTTAAGGCGCAGGACCGACGGCTTTACGTGCTCTCCGAGGCACGGGGGTGAAACACCGCCAGCTTCCCAACTCCGGGCTGTTACTGAGGCTTACTTTACAGAAAGACTCAATAACTAAACTTGGCCCGACCCGGGACTCGAACCCAGGACCTCCGGGTGTTCAGCAGTACATGCTAGCCACTACACCACCGAGGCAGTTGACAATTTATCTTACTACTATTATAAATGTGACGGCTTAGAGGATTGGATGTTTGGATTTTTGTTACTCAATCACGCCAGAATGGCTTAACGGATCTGGATGAAATTTGGCACAAAGATAGATTATAGTCTGGAATAGCACATTTTTATCCCGGAAAAATAATATAAAAGCTTGTCGCGAGATTTACCTGTGAAGATAAACAAAAAACAAAATGTTAAAAATAATATGTAGGTAGGTTTGTCTTTTTAAGTTGGCTTTTGACGTAAATTTCCATGTTTGACACCCATATGTCAAGCATGGAAGAATGCTAGAGTTCATAGTCCTAGTTTTAAGATCCATGGGCATGTTACTTTTGAAAACTTCTTTCAAACTCCAGTATTTAAAAATCTCGTCCTGCGAGCGAGGAATCGAGAGAAACATGCTTAAGGTAAAAAAAGTCGATAAAACCCGTCACACAAAAATCAGCGCAATAACAAAAGCAACTGATGCTTTCAGTTACGCACAAAAGTTAAAATGGAGATGGGCCGGTCACATAGCTAGGCTTAGAGATAAAAGATGGACCTACAATACCACCATATGGAGTGGACCTCAAGGAAAAAGAAGGAGAGGAAGACCACCCGATGGGACGACGAGATCAAGAAATTTGCAGGCCCATGCTGGTGGCAAATAGCACAGGATAGAGAGAAGTGGGCATCTTTGGAGAAGGCCTTTACCCAACCTGGAGGCCTTGATTAATGCATATTTATATATTTTAATTAAAAAAAACTAGAAATAAGTCGTTTAGTATAATTTAGTATGAATTAATAAAAAAAAATAAATTTAAGTAAGTAAGTATACCTAGCAATTAGTAAGAAACTAAATTTAGTAATTAGCAACTAAGATGAATTGTAGCTTGGTCAAATAAAGGCTTTTTTCTTTTATTTTATTTCTTTAGGTATGTCTTTTTATAAAATCAAATTTTTTTATTAAAGTTAAAACCAATATAAATGTCAGATGCATTAATTCATATAGTCAGGATTTTCTCATATTTTGTATTCTAAAGTCCATCTTCAAGATATCACCAGCTGCATTAAAAAATATATTTTATATGTAGGTAACTGTAGGTATATTTATTCATTTATTCATTTAGAACATTATAGGCACATTACATTACGAGTATATAGGTACTTATATATACTTTACTTTCTCTATTTGAATTTGCGTTACAATTATTATTCAAACTATTCAAAAACATAATAACGTAACATACACCGTAGTTAAGTAGGTATGTACTAATGGGGTTTTATGCTGTCTATACCTAACTGTAGCTCTACTTTTAATAGATACTAGCGACTCAGCCTCGCTCCGCTCGGGTTCATCCCTAACGTGGGCCACCTTATCACTTAGGGGTATGGAAAATAGATAGTAGCCGATTCTCAGACCTACTGAATACGCATATAAAATTTGGTAAAAATCGGTAAAGCCCTTTCGTAGGAGTACGGTAACTAACATTGTGACATGGAAATTTTATATATTAGAGAAGATGTTTAATGGGTAGGTACATATGTTTAAAAGATTTAAGATTAATGTTAGTGATTGATATTAGTCTTTGTGGCTGATTTTCTAGTAGGTAAGACTTATGTGTGTTTTTCACAGGACATCAGTGATTTTGTTAATAAATATATATTTTTTATAAAAGGTTATACTTCAAGGATTGTCATACGCTCCATCCATTTAAGTGATTTTAAAATAGGTACCGATACCTACTTTTTTTTTGTAAATTAGTGTGTAATTAAGTGTATTGTGTATAATTTGTGATGTACGAATAAAAATCTAAGAGCAAAACGTTCATAATTCGTAATATCAATATTTCTAACAAACGTATTAAATCATATTTACGTGAGAATAATGTTACAATAATGGATTCTGTTACTTAAAGCACTTTTTTCTCATCCGTTAATCCTCATGATGTATAGTTAATTCTGAACTTCTCCGTACTCATTTAACGTTGATAAAGCATCGCGTGGCTAACTCTAATAAACCGTTGACTCTTGTCTGTGTGTTGTGAGAATGTTCGCAGGCCGCAGGGGGCGTGTCGCGGCGAGATCAAAGCGGCCCCGCCCCGCCCTGCGCGTGCGCAGCTTCGCTCGGATAATGGACCCGCGGGCCATTGATATGTGATATGTGCAAATATTGCTTTGTAGGGAGCTTGTTTCATATAAAAACTGCCGCATTCCATTTTACTGGCTAATTACACTGAACTCGTTGCTTTATTTCATAATCTCAGGTACCTACCTGCCTATGGTAAAATAAATTTGAAAAATACATTTTGCAAAGTTGTTAATCATTAATTTTAAAATTAAATTTTATATAAACATATCTAAATACACTTACTCTATATAAACATATTTAAGTAGTGGAATAAAAATATATTAGCTACATATATACTATACAAGTAACAATCACTTCGCTCAGGCGCGCTCCTAGATAGCACTTTGCGCGCAAGGTTTGGCGATTTGTTTTCATTTTCTTCATCGACTTATGATATAAAACTTATGATATAAGACTTATGATATGATATAAATGAATAATGAGCCCTAAATATATTGTATATCCCTTAAATGCCATGTTACTGTCCAACCTAAATTACCTACATAACCAAACTGTATGCGAAAAATTAAGTTTGCCTGATACTAATAAAAAAATTTATTAGGTATATTCATCAAACAGATCAACTGGGATTATAAATTTTAAAGATAATCCTGAGTTACTGACATGCTAATTTACATATTGAATATACTTACAAATTCCATTTTTTTTTGCTTTAAAGGTACTTACCTAGATACCTATTTTAAATATTTGCCTCTAGTACGAAGTAATAGTGTGTTTAGACTCTTATAGTCCGTAGAGAATAAATTCTTTCCCCATTGTCTAACAAACAACCTATCATAAAAAATATATCTACCTTTGATATGAAAACTTCATTTGTTTTTTCATGATTTTTCGTGAGATAGAGTATAAGAGATAATAATCATGAGAATAAATTATAAATATAAAGCTAGTGCGAGCTGCGCAAACTCTTTGCAGCGTTTATATTAGAATATTTTAATCTGATCTTTGGACCTATACACAGACAAACCAACCTATTTGTATCGGTTTGTGTATTTGTGTGCCTATTTGTGTGGTTATATTGTCTGTGGACCTTTATAATGAATTTAAATTGTAGGTAGGTAAGAAATTTCGCATATGTTAATAAGTTGCCAAAATACACGCTATGTTGAAATTATAAAGCTCTACTGAACAATAATAATAGCGGCCAAACTTAGTAAATGATAATTGAATCGTGAGCTCCTTAAAATTCCTCGCTCCGTCGAGAAGTTCTCATCTAATTCGCGCAACAATGTAAGAATAGCGTTTGTGAAGACATCTTTGTCTTCACAATCTAGCCGCTGTATTATTTTATATCTATTGTTTTGAAAACTTGGTGAAACCGCGGGACTCTACACTTATGAACTAATCTAATAGGATTTTATAATTTTTTTAATGTAATTTTCATTTATTTATACCATATCATAATAATATTGATATTAGATTTAAGTTATAATACTTCAATTTGTGAACCGATGTGAACTACCATAAAGCTTGAACACTTATGCTCATTGCTTATTCTAACTCACCTAGGTAGGTATACCCAAACAATCTACCTATACCTACCTATTGATAATATTTAATATTACTGTAGATTTTTTTTAAAGCAAAAATGGAGAAACACTCGAAATTAAATATAATATCCATGCTTAATCTATTTGGAGCTATAAAAGAATTGTAGGTACCGACGTAAGGCGTTCTAAAAGTACCTATTGTCATTGATATTTATATTTAATAACCATGTTTTTATTTTATCCATTCTAATATTAAAAATGTGAAAATTTATGAGGATGGTTTAATGAATGGATGTTTGTTACTCTTTC